TACATAGTTTCCAATGAAGCATTTTATGAACAGCTACAATGGCTTGTAATGGAGCCTTGTTTGCGTACAAGTCAAAAATGGAGAAGCTCTACTTGAACGATGTATGGATAAACATTCGGCCATTCGCCAGCATTACAAGGATAAATCAGAATTTCTTGTTCTCAAATAAAATTTACAAAATAGTGTTTGGTAATTTGAGATTGATGCTCATTTGGAGTATACGCTTGACGGATAAAGACCATCGGGATAATGAGCTAGATAGACTAAGCAAATATTTGAGCCGATCGAAATATTTGGTTTGATTTGTTTTCGTTCATAAGTAGGGTTTCGGAACTACCAGTAAATCATTGTAGATACGAAGAGCAACTTGGTTTTGATGAATCTCCTGAGATAACATTGTTAGGGGGACCTTCATTTCGTATGAAAGTGCATACACTCGAGCAAAAGTAGAAGGACAAGTATAAGATAATTGGCCAAACCACTCTATATCCATCTAGGTTTTTAATTTTTAATTTTATTTTGGCTTAGCTTAGTCTGTATAAGAGGTAAGATAAAGCCGGATAATCTTCTTGGCCAAGTGTTAACGAAAGCTTAGCTCTGACGATGTCCATCAAATGATAGACGGAAGCTCAGCACGTTTTCACTCGAAACGAGGGAGGTAGTCTCGTGGACTGCGTCAGCATGAATATCGTATAAAAGCCAAACGACTGCAGTACAACGAGTTTCATCCGTCCTCATCTGGTGGGATCGACTAACGAATCTCTTCTTCATGCACTTTCATACGAAATGAAGGTCCCCCTACCATTAAATCTGTTATATGAGATGTATTTCGTTTAAGGCAGTGGTTCCCAGACTTTTCCTAGTCGCAGTGCCCTTTTTCAATTACAATTTTTTCATGGCACCCTAACCTAAGTATGACTATTCGTAAGTAAGAGATAAAAATAAATAAAACTCTTGTATCTTCATTATTTTTTTTTACTTTATTAACATTAAATTAATAATTAATAATTAATGTGATGGATGAGCCTCCAAATTACTGCACATTTTCTCAAATTGAAGCCTTTATAATATTTCGTGGCGCAGATAAATAGAGCTGACGTTTCCATTGAATTTCATTTGGCCTTGCCAAAAGTTTTATCATCCAGGGTGGACTACATTTTTGACCTCGTCTATGATGTTCGAGTAAGGCAAAATGACATCTTGTGCGATCGGTCTTGGAATATCTTGATCGAAATTTTTCACTCATAATGAAAGTCAGCTCAACCAATGTAAACCAAGAGACTGTTTGAAACTCAGATTTCGCCTTACGTACATGTAAGTGACAATATAAGAAACTTCAAAAAATATCACGATATCAACTAATAATATCATGATATAATGTTAATAGAACAATTCTAAATAAAGGTTCTGGCTATCCCAGGTCGGATAAGGTGATGAAGGACAGATAGTTACTTTAATGAGATGTATTCACCCTATTTCGTCTAAGGTGATAAAGGACTGGTAGTAGAATTTTCTCACAATGATATAAGTTGAGCTGAAGTTTCCATTGAATTTCACATAGTTTTGCTTTCCTAAAAGTTGTTCTCATCCCGGCTGAAGTGGACTGCAGTTTCGACCTCGCTAACCATTCGGCTACACTGCCACGAGTACCCTTGAGTCACAGGGCTGAGGGTGTTGATAAGACCGATGCGAGGTCGAAACTGCAGTCCACCCTGGATGAGAACTCTTGGGAAAGCAAGACCATGTGAAATTCAAGGGAAACGTCAGCTCAACTCATATCCTTGTGGGAAAATTCTACTACCAGTCCTTCATCACTTTCTACGAAATAGGGTGAATACATCTCATTACACTGATTTACTGGTAGTCTCGAAGCCCTACTCTCATACGAAGATAGTTACTTTCCCCACAATGAGAGGAGAAGACTTGATAAGGCTGTTGAATTTCATTTTCTCCAAAAACCCTATTACATTCAGGCCGATTTGCAGTTTCAATCTCGTCTCGGCCTTACAAGCATCCTAATTAATAAGAATAATCCTGGCCTTGACTAAGGGGGTGTCCAAATGTGAAGAAAGTTCCAAATAAAAGTGGGTTGACCTCGTCTCCTCAACTTGGTTGTGTTGTCAGAGGGACACACCCTGCTAGAAGTCCTCTGTCATAGTAATTATCATAATTCATAGTGTCAAACCGTGGACTTGGTTCGTTCTCAGACGTTTCTGCGGAATCGTAGTCTACACCATCATTAAATCTTGCCATTCTCAGCACAAATCTACAAGCGACGTTAGTATAGGCAAACAACAATAAATGATCGTAGATATGAAGACCAAGATGATGTGGTCTTCTGTGCGGTCGCAGTCTCCCTTAGTTTTATAGTTTTGGTTCGGCCTTGCTTTCGCAACTTGGTTGGATCGTCAGGGAGACCTTGAGGAATGTACCTAGTCCCGTGTCCTCTGCCAGAGTATTCGTGATTCTCAGCATTGGACCATCGGTTGGGTACATTCGCAAACATTTCGCAAGCATCGTCAGTCAGAGGCGCCATCGTAAGCACAGGGTTAGAAGTTATCAAAGTGATTAATGAAGTCAGAATGTAGGCCAGGAGCCCTGCACACGGCATTTGGTACCGGTGGTTGAGATGATCACGTTTGACTAAACCCACTTGTAGCGCCACACTCTTAGGCAACATTGGAGAAATCGAGAGCAGAGAATTGTGTGAATAAGTGGAAGGGCCATATGAAGTGGGGTTGAGAGAAAAAGGTGTGACACTAGAAGGTAGTATGAGATGTATTCACTCAATTTCGTTCAAGGTGATGAAGACGGGTAGAAGAATTTTCCAACAATTATATGAGTAGAGCTGACGTTTCCATTTAAGATCGCATAGCCTTTATTCCCCGAAAGTCATCCTCATCCAGGGTCTTATCAACAGGGCAAATGTGAATTTTAAGAAGGCCAGGCCTTTTGCCATATCATATTCTTAGGTGGGATTGTCGATGAAGCAAACGTATACTTGCTATAACAATCGAATACGTTACTTTATTTTTCGGAATTAAGTATTGTTTCGAGACTACCAGTAAATCAGTAATATGAGATGTATTCACCCACTTTCGTTTAAGGTGATGAAGGACTGGTAGAATAACTAGAAAGAAGAACAAGAAATAGAGGCGAGGAGTGATGCTACAACGATTGGACAGAAAAGTGGTCGAGGGGATTGCCTTTACTTGTAACTCTGTGCTTACGATGGCGCCCCTCACTGACAATGCCGACTACGATGCCAGAAAGACGTTTTTGAATATATCCAGCCGATGGTCCAATGCTGGAAATCATGAATGCTATGGCAGAGGACACGGGACTAAGTACGTTCCACAAGTTCTCCCTGACGTTCCGACCAAGTTGCGAAAACAAAGCCGAACAACTACAATAATAATTGATATTTGAAAGCTGTCATGTAGAGGGTCTGTCGATATTGTTATTATCTTGAAAGTAGGCTTCATAAGGAGTTTGGCGCTAATTTACATGGCGATCTGATCAGATTTCAGCAGACAGAACTTCGTTCGGTAGCAGTCTAGCAGTAAGTAGCTTACGTCTATTATAAACGATGGATAGAACAGACCATTTTGCGTACCAAGGCCTGGTAATTGCTCTAGCATCGATGAAATTGAAGGGCTGCAACAGGGCGACAAAGTTCAGTTGGCATTGAATAACCATATAGACATCTGAGATCGGTTAAACTTTTACGCTCTGACGATGTTTGTCACGATGGTACTCACGAAGGCTTATCACGAACTGTTCTTCGATCTGGCAGGATGGTAAGCCGAGGATTTACTTGTAAAATCCTGCAGTCTTCGCTGCGCAGCAATCCTCTTGATTTCCGGTTAGTACAGTTCAAGAATCCCTTCCAACTAACTTTTCCTTCTAGATGAAATGTCATCTCCCAACAAATCACTAAGGGATTAATCAAAATCCTATTTTTCTTATTGCCTGCTATTCATCCGAAACTGCTGTTTATAGCCCCTCCTAACCTAAGGTTGACTAACATTATTCTATTGTTATGGTTACCGAATAAATAGAGCACAATTTCCAGCGCTCATTACGTAGATAGAGTTTATCGCCTTAATGGAGGATGGCCTTCGATTTCCTCATTCAAACTATCACTTTAATTGTCATAGTTTGCGAATTCATAAATGTCACTTTACTTATAACTATTTCTTTATTGAAGCGAGCATTCTTTACTAGAGCCTTGACAACCAAACTTATTGCAGCATATGAATGCAGTACAAGGATGCGGTCAATCTGCACCTCTGTTTGTTTTTCCCAGTGGTACTCGGCATGTTCAGCTTGTTGGGGTATGTTTAAGTGAGACAATTGGTACCAGTTGATACGATGTGCTTTTACTTGCCCTCGTTGTTGGGCTGCACAGTTGGGTTATAATTGCACACTTTCTCAAGTATCCGGACGAGAGAGACTCATGTAAATAGAAGGTAAAAACGTTGTGCCGATGCCTTAAAAGAGGCGGCACCTTGACAGGCAACCGGTTCTTTTCCCGTCTCCAAAGCAATGGTCTTAGAGAAGGCTTGACTCGATCCTTCCTAAAGCTCATCGTAACCTCGATGGAGAGCCGACAAGTCGATGAACAAATAGTTGGCAGTGGGAAGGCAGAACAACCTTAATCTAATCTACAGCCTCACTTCACTTAAGACTAACGAGACGTTTTAGTATCGCTCTAGTTCGTGGACTCTGATGCTCATTGCAATTGTCTGAGAAGAGTCCTTCTTCCCGATTGTATCTTTATACTGACTCAGAGCCTCCATGGAGTCTCCAAAGCCGAGATTAGATTGAAGGAAATATAATCGGAACGTCATGCACCTTGTTCAGGAGTCGAGCAGAGCTGTGCTCCGGCACCTTCCAATTCTGTCAAGGGCACAACAGCTGCCTCTAAAAGCAAACACGGTTCAAAGAGCTGATATTCCACAGTCGCCTCGTGCCAAATACTAATTTGGCTTTTTCCGATGACTTCGCTCAACGACATTGTCCTCAATATGCGATTCCTCGAGGGTGTTTGTGCTCGTGACAAGCGCACGGAGACGGCTGATCTTCGCTTCAATAGCGTCTTCTTCTGGCGGCACTGCGGTTCTACGACAACCGGACGGGCATGTGGAGGCTTCCTCGATCTCTATGGCACAAACGCGAAGAAGTCAGATCTCCTGCGAGGAATAAGAGAGCGAATCGTAACTGCCTCACAAGACCTGAAACTAGTGTGTCGAAGAAAAGTCCTCTATTGAGGTTCAGTTTAGTCCAAGTTGGCGTCCTCAGGCAGGTTGGAATGAAGTCTCGAATGTTAATTCGCTTTGAATTGCACCTTCTGAGGCAAGACAGACGCTTGCCGACTCAATTCTGCGTTCGGAATTGAGTGCTTTTCAAGTTAAGTTGAACTAATGTGTCCAAATGAATGGAAAACCGACACTTCTGTCTTCATAAAATAGGCGAGCTAACAAGAACTCTTCTTGTCCCGAAATTTGTGGACGACTCGAGATCCGTCAAGGCTGTACCGTCGTGTCAGGCAGATTCAATGATTCGTCCGAGTGCTGATCCTGCAACTATGCCAAGCTGTACACAAGGCCGCTTGAGTGTGTACATTTCGAGAAAAGAACCTGTCTACTACAACTCACGAGCGAGCCATGATCTGCCTCCTTCGGGGAACCGTGCTGCCAGCACCCTCAAAAGGAAATATGTCCACACAGAGCTCAGTCCTTCATTTCCACCAAGAGGTCTTCTCCTCAATTTCGAGTTGGCTAAAGGAAGGGGGTCCCCAAGCCTCCCGATTCGCCTGTACCAATTCGAAAGGTCAGTACTTATGCACAGACATCTTTTGCGGCAGTGTGTTTAGGCTGCTGCCTGCCGGCAACTTATGCAAGCGAATAGTCGCTTCACACATGGATCATATGACTGAACCCTTCTGATCACAGTTGGTAGTCTGTGATGGCAGCGTACTGAGTCTGTCAAAGACTGTACCACCAAAATGAATGGCTTCGTCATATCACATTCGCAACAATCTCTCAACACTCTATTTGCGTTGAAAAAGCAAATCTCGTCACTGTACCATACTCACCATCATACCTATCCGATCATCATCTCTTGCAATAATCAGAAGCCAAGTTTCACCATTTTTACATGTATGCCCCTCCCCCCACATTCATTAAGCTGTGGCCTACATTTGAACATTTCGTCCACCCACCGACCTCATGTAATCGCGTTCGCCTCACCTCAAGAACCACCGCTTGGTTAGGCTATTAATGAGCCCTGTTTTGCTGCTAACCCACTTTTACATGCTCTTTGTTCTAGCAAAGTCTCTAG